CCAATTTAGTTATTAAGTGATGTTAAGTGACCTTTGTTATTGAAAAAATGCTCTCAATATTTGCTTGTATCTCACAATGATTGTTTTATTGTTCAATCTGTGTCAAGATCAATCTAATCAACAACTATTTCTTGACTATCCACTAAAATATGTCTGGCAAAGGAATCAAATTTTTTTTAAAAATGGACTTTGTTCTTTCATATAAGAACTCCATGGAGAAAAAATGGATTGTGGCATATGATTTTCCCTCATTGAGTACTTTTTTTTAGAACACAGATATAATAAATAAAAATGATTTCAAGTCCCTACATGTAATATTTTCTCTTCAAAGAACCTAAGTACGTGCCTTGGCTGTAATTTTTACAGTTTTCCCATTAAGAGAGGAAGGAGAGATATATTTGATGGTCATTTAACAATATATACAAGTGTTGAATTATTATGTTGTACACCTGAAACTCATATCATGTTCTACATCAGTTATACCTCAATTAAAAAAAATAGCTGGAGATCTGTTTTCGTTTCTCCCTTCTCCAGTCCTCACGACCACATGTCACATGTTTCAGGAGGCACAGCTATGAGATGGAAGAAGATAGAGCCATCTATTACAGGAGAAGAAAAAAATATTGGTTGCACACCCACACAGTATACGTGTCTTTTGGTTTTGTTTTTATACTGTGCACCTGCACATGGAAGTGTGTGTGTGTGGTGGGGGGGTGTATCAATCCTAAACAGATTTGGAAATGTTGATTAGATATCTCCATTTCTTGCTTTCCAGAAGATAAAATTCAGAGATCAATAAAGAGGAAACTTCCCACTGAATTGAAATCTGCATATACCAAACATCAACTATGCATTAGGCCTCTGGTCTGTTCGACTTACTCATGAGCCCTCTCCATAGACTCTCTAGTGGCCAGGTGGGAAACAAACAAGGAGAAGGAGAAGGGGAATGAGAAAGGGAAGGAGAAGGGGAAGGGGAAGAGGAAAGGGGAAGGGGAAGAGGAAAGGGGAAGGGGAAAGGGGAAAGGGGAAGAAGAAGAAGGAGAAGAAGAAGTGGTTACTAAAACGAATCAAACCCCTTTAACTTTACATTTTTTACATTTGAGGGGAATGTAGACACTTGCAACTCACCAAGTTTTAAATTCTCATACTTAGGAAAGGTGAAATTTGTTTCAAGGTCACCCAAGCCAAAAGTCTGAGCTTTCTCAGACTTTAAGTTATGATAATAATGAAATTTGGGAATAACTGATTCAAAAACACAATGATTGGGAATCCCTGGGCGGCTCAGCGGTTAAGCGCCTGCCTTCGACACAGGGAGTGATCCTGAAGACCAGGGATCAAGTCCCACATCAGGCTCCCTGCATGGAGCCTGCTTCTGCCTCTCTCTCTCTCTCTCTCTCTCTCTTTCTCTCTCTCTCTGTCTCTCATGAATAAATAAATAAAATCTTTAAAACAAAACAAAAAACACAGTGATTGCTGAAGTCCATTTACAATCAAACATCTGTCTACCAATAACAGAAAGCCCTATGGAGAATTTTGGCTGTTAAAGTGTTGTACAAGGTCAAAGATTCTTGATACCCCCATTCACTTGCCATTTGAAGGTTTTATATCTAAGCCTTATTTTATTTTAATTAGGTTTTTTAGCTTGGTTCATAATTTTAAAAAATCTGCTGCAAGATGCAATCTTAAGGCAATATATATAGTATGACCCACAAAATGATGAGATTGACTGTTGCATAGAGCTTAGGAAAATAAGCCTTGCTACTTTAGACAGGCTTCTTTCATAATGCCAATAGTCTGGTCTAGTCTAGGGCTGCCTCAAAGATATCTTCAATCATTCTAAGTCCTCCAAGTAAATAAAACAACAAACTTGGCCCATGTAGGACCAAAAAGTTGGCGTACTGGCTGTGCAGGTGTTTCTTTCTTTCTTTTTAAGATGTCATTTATTTATTCATGAAAGACACACAGAGAGAGGCAGAGACATAGGCAGAGGGAGAAGCAGGCTCCCTTCCCTGTAGGCAGCCTGATGCGGGACTCAATCCCAGGATCCTGGGATCCTGACCTGAACCAAAGGCAGACGCTCAACCACTGAGCCACCCAGGCAGTTATTTCTAAGAGAAGGGAGACCTGCGTTTGATTCCAAAGGGAGCTTTCCTATATTCCTCTATCTGTCTGCTATAATCTACAATTCATCAGGATCTAACATTAGGGACAGATTACCAAAACACCATTCTTGATGCCAACTAGCCCGTCTTGTGCACTTGACTATAGGCTTTTAGGCAGTAAGTAAGTTAATCGCTTTTGTCCAAATCCACCTTTATAAAGGTATATTATCTCCAGTCCAGCCTTTGGACTACATCCCTAAATTCACATTGGGGAGGCCTTGGAAAGCCCAGGGCTGTTGTACAGATGGCCTGGAGCCCAAAGTAAATGAATGGCTGCCATACTACACTCTATTTTATGCGACCTTGGAGCCAGACCCTCCTCCCATGGACAGCCTGTCAGTGATGCCTTGGGGGCCTAAGAGAACTCAAATGAACTGTGTGTGTGTGTGTGTGTGTGTGTGTGTGTGTGTGAAGGCATGAATAGAAACATATCTTTCCTATAACTCTGCAATGATTAGCACAATAAACTGATCCTTGCAAAAGAGGTATCTGATGTTCTTGCTTTTTGCCTGATTTCACTATGCTTTGGGGGACTCCTAACCTAGGATGTTAACTGCTCTGTTTCAGAGGCTGTGTCAAGGCCAGATCAGCTCCACTATGGAAGATCTCAATAATCTTAACCTGATTTTCTTTTTTTTTTTAATTTCAGGGTTTTTTAATTTAAATTCAATTTGCCAACATATAGTGTAACACCCAGAGCTCATCCCATCAAGTGTCCTCCTCAGTGCCCGTCATCCAGTTAGTTACCCCATCCCCCAACCCACCTCCCCTTTTGCAACCCTTTGTTTGTTTCCCAGAGTTAGGAGTCTCTCATGGTTTGTCTCCCTCTCTAATTTTTCCCACTCAGTTCCCCTCCTTTCCCTTATAATCCCTTTTACTATTTCTTATATTCCACATATGAGTAAAACCATATGATGATTGTCTTTTTTCTGATTGACTTATTTCACTCGCATAATACCCTCCAGTTTCTGATTTTCAAAGAAAGTCAGTGACAGCTATGATAGAATAAACAAATTTGCCCATGTGGGCAGTCTTGTCTCCCTCCTTCACTGATGTTACCCCTGAACCCAGAACAGGATCTAGCACACCAAAAGCATCAGTAAATAATTGGAGGTTTATCTGGAATTATTGGAATACTATTTATCCAAAGCCTACCATTTATCAGTCATGCAGAAGGCATTTTGCATACCCTGTCTTTCTATTCCTTCTAACAAATAACCCTGTGTGGTGGACATTATATTAGCTTATAAATAAAGAAACTGAGGTTTGAAAAATTTCACTGACCTACTGAATAACACAAATAGTAGGCAGAAAGCAGGAATTCAAATTTAGATCTGTCTGCCTTTCTAGCCAATATTCTGTCCACACACCATGTTTTCACCCCAAAAGAAACAAATTATAGACTGACTTTTGGTCTTTTGCTATAAGATACCAAGTTAGCATATTTACATATTATCATGGGTTTAGAAACCACTCCATGTGACAAGGACTCTGAAGAGCTGATGGGATGGGATGGGAATATAGAAGGCTCCAATCACATATTTCTTTGTGCAGAAAGGCAACAGAGTTTGGACCTTGTCACTTCCCTGCCATGCCACTATACCTTTCACTAAAATGAAATGTTCTCATCTGAAAACTGCATAACATAATTCTATCTCACTGAATTAAATGGGCAATGCATTTATGCAGAGCAAGGACTCAATAAATGTAGATTATTACTAACCTAGAATTATGTAGATTATTACCAACCCAGAATTATCTTCAAACTTATGTGAACCAACTCAATTGTTTTTAGAAAAGGCAGAAATACTTTTAAAGAGAAGACTATGCACATATTACCTATTTTCCCCATAAAGAATTTGCCCCTTTATCCAGCAAATTCACTGATAAAATTTTAAGTGGAAACCCCCTTTTTTAAAAAGAAAGGGTAGGGGAAGAGGCATGAAAAGTTGCTGTTTAAAAAAAAAGTTGCTGTTTAGTCAGAACCGTCACTCATGGTATAAAAGGCACTTGAATAATAGGGATTTATGAATAAATTAATATGCACCATCTGGTGAGTCCCAAAAGTTTCCTTCTCTTGTCCTGTGTAAGGCTTTTCAGGAAATAAAATTGCTTAAGAGAACATCCTTGCTGAACACGTACACAACTAGTGTTGTGTTCTTTTCTAACTAAGAAAAGAAAGGTTTTATTACATTTCTCTACCTAAGGCTGGTAGTTGTAGAGCTAATCAGCTAATGTCTTCTGGATACAGTGTGGAGACTCTCTTGCTCAAAATAGAGCTACCATAGAAAAGTTTGCCGCTCTGTGAGGCAAGCAAGTCTTGCCTTGTTCCAAATTTAAGACATTCTGACATGGTCTGAAATGGCCTTAGCCATGCTACCCTGGAAATTTGTGGTCACCCTTTCCATTTTTCTTTCCTCATAAATCGGGCTGTGCTGACTGAGTGCTCAGCATCAGATTCTGCAGGCTGAACAATCCTTCCTATCCCTACAATGAATCCACGTAAATTTGCCAAATAGCAAGTGCTATAGGTCAGAGGAGTTCGACCTCAGCATTGGCTCTCCACGACTGAATACTTCTGAGGTAAAACTCATCAAGCAATGGGCTTCAAATCTCTCTTTTCTGAGTCTCTTTCTGAACAGCAGGCCAAAAATGAGCATTCTGAACGTCTCTCTCTCTCTGTCTCTGTCTCTGTTTCTGTCTCTCTCTCTCTCTCTCTCACACACACACACACACACAGAGAGAGAGAGAGAGAGAGAGAGAGAGAGAGAGAGAGAGAGCCAGGGCCGACATGGTTTGAGAGTTCTCAAATGGCAACATCAGTGAAATCGTGCTTACCTTCCAGAAACTTCAGTCCACAATAGATGCCCCTTGCCTGTGAAGAGCAGTCAGAGCCAGATTTCCAGCGTTCCAGTCAGCCTTGTTCTTGTCAGAGAGCAGCACATCTCATCTCTGCATAAGCTCTCAAATTCTTTCAGCGACCCACCCTCTAAAGTTGCAGGTCTAGATTTCTGACTGAGGGCGATCAGTGACGTGAGGCAAAGCTACTGGATGGCACTTTCTGGTTCTTCCTGATGGGATGTGGCTTCCTGTTTCACCACTTGGGAGAGGAGAAAACTGGAATTCAGTCAGACCCAGGATTACAAAGGCATTAGTTGCCTCATCCCTGTTGGTTCTGGTGCACACGGTCATTAGTCAACAACTGAACAAGATGGTCTTACTGTTTGTACTGAAAGGAAGGGGTTTATGCTGTGGAGAGAAACCTGAAACACTGTTGACAAGCCCACACTATTGCCCAAGGCGAGCGGTCTGACAGCTATGGCATGTTCTAGAAGCCTGTGAGTGTTGGTGGGGATTTGTGCTAACTGAATCACCACCAGCAGCACCAGCACCACCAGCACCATCAATACGCCCCAAAACACATCCACTAGGGAGCACCAGTCCACAGAAAGGTGACTTCTCTGTTTCCTGGCACCTGAGGTGGGGGTGACTCACTTTTTGGGGAACCATATAATGCCTCCCCAATAAAAATCTGGCCACCTTTTTCTTTTAGAAGAGTCAGAGGTAATTTTCTTTGTTTTTATTTATGTCAACCTCAAAGAACAGTCCTTACAGACAATGGAAGACAAACCTGTTAGTAGCAGGATACTAACAGTCATTCGTCTGTCTGCTTGAGGCACTTCCAACTTCAAAGGCAAGTTTCCCTACATTTACAGTGTTTATTTGAGACGGGAGACCTTTGGGGGCCGTTTTCACTTTCTCTTGCCTGCAGATGAAACAACTCCGGGTGTGGACTCTTTAAAGGTGCCCTGACGAGCAAGGAAGCTTCAGCAAGTTGGTTCTTGTACCCCTCGGAGCCAAAGCTCACCTCCCAGGCGGTTTGGGCAGCGCCGCCCACTCTGAGGGCCTGATTCGAGGCCCTTCCCATCTGTTGACTTCAGCTGCTGAGAGGTATCTTTCTTCTCCTGTCAGCTAATCGATGACAGCAAATTAAAAATTGACCAGAGGCAGAGAAGGGGAAAGGCCAGTCTCAGACTCCAAGGCTTCTCGGGTTTCACTAACTGAATTCAGTTCAAAGAAGGATTGGTAAAGGCCCATTCACCAGACACTCGTTCAACTTTCTTCTTGGCCTGTTTTTTTCTTCCCAGACTTTCTTTTTGCTCTGAAGGGGTTCAGAAGATTTAGAGCTCATCTGGCAGGAGGGCTGAATGCCCAGCAGAGTGGTCACTAAGTGAGGCAGGTTGTAGTTCAGAGCCTCATTGCATCCTGCCAGGTGACTATGTAGAATTGCCTGGTCTTCCTGACCCCGTGCTACTCCCTTTCTTGGTTCATCCTTCTCCAACTGCCACCTAACTTACCTTCCTCTTTAAAATTGTTTTTCTTGGGGCACCTGGGTGGCTCACTGGTTGAGGTTCTGCCTTCAGTTCAGGTCATTATCCCAAGGTCCTGGGATGGAGGCCCACATCAGGTTCCCTACAGGAAGCCTGCTTCTCCCTCTGCCTGTGTCTCTGCCTCTCTCTCTGTGTGTGTCTCATGAATAAATAAATAAAATCTTTTAAAAAAGTAATATTGTTTTTCTCTATCGTGTCTTTCTTCCCTGATGATAAAGCCGTACCAGTCACCTTTTTTCTGATAAGATTCCTTAGCACAGGAGACACCTGGTTCCTGGTTGCAACCTACATAGCTCAATGCCTCCTCCATAATCAAAAGAATCCCATTATCATAAGCTGCACTGAGTCAGTGTCAAGGTGTAGTCCCTTCTTCCTTCAGCTACAGAGGCAAAAATTAACCTGTTGCACAATTGATACAATAGTGTGCAATAGCCAGGGGGATGGAAGTGAGGAATTCTGATGGTTTGTGAGTTGTGACCTACACATAAGCCCAGTGGATCTGTGCACGACCCCTCTGCAGAAGACACATCAATACAAATACGGTTCTTTCGAAGACTGCTAAGGTCCTGCCTTTTCCCTTTTCTCTTTCTCACTTGTACCTCATGATTGATAACTTTATCAGTTCACTGCTAACAGAAGAGAACCCTGGGAAGCATGATAGAGCAAGAGGCCTGTGTGGGTGTCATTTTGTCTAGGTAATACTTAACTGTCTTATTTTATGAGAAAAGTTTAGAAGTGAGTTAAGGCATTAAATCTGTTGTATATTTTAAATCATCATTAGTAAAGGTTGTTTATTAAATCTCAATGGTTCATTGCATTTTTAAAAGTGAACATCACACCTCTGACAATTAAAGGTAAGCAGTTAAACCCGATATTAGGGGACAAGATTTGTGGGAAGCAGAAAGGGCTGCATTACAAAACCCAAGGAATTTTATCCATAATACAGGAGAGAGGAAGAAAAGCAGTGAGAACCCTATACAAAGCCAGTCAAGATTCTGGAGAGCTGGGTGCCTGGGTGGCTCAGTGGTTCAGCGTCTGCCTTTGGCTCAGGGCATGATCCTGGGGTCCTGGGATTGAGTTCCACATCAGGCTCCCCACAGGGAGCCTGCTTCTCCCTCTGCCTATGTCTCTGCCTCTCTTCTGGTGTCTCTCATGAATAAACAAAATCTTTAAAAATAAAAATAAAGATTATAAAAAGCCCCTGAAGAACTCACAAGAATAAAATAGTGGAAGCAGGACACAGGAAAATGGCTTCAGAGCCACATCAGGAAGCATGGATCTAGAAACTGTGTGCAGAGCTTTGCTAGCCAGAAGCAGAGGGCACATAAGGTGTAGACACAGAGGAAAGGGGAGTGGGACAGTTTCTGATATTCTAAGTGGCATGTTATGTTGCAAGCCTTAAGCTAACTCTCTAGAGAAGAAAATGTAAGTTTGATGGAATTGATCTGCTTTTACCTCAAAGGAAAGAATCCCTTCCAAGAATCTTAATGAATACAGTTTGGGCCATATTGATCTTAGCCTACTGAGTCCAGTGTTGGGGGGAGGCTTATGAACAAAAACTGTGTTTTCTTATAATGTTTCATCTTATCATTTTCACAGACTTTCCAAATACAAAAGTTTTCTCATAGAAATGTTAAGTCAAAATGCTACCAAACTGCATTCTCTAAATAGGTGTGTGGAGAAACTCCCATGGGATATAACAAAACAAGCCAAAGTCTTCACAAATGCCTGGAATGTGAAGACTACATCTTCTTGGCATAAAAATCTCCCCAGATCATTTGCCTGAATCCCCACAATGGATTATAGATTACAGACACACCTCAGAGTGTGTTCCAGACCACTGCAATAAAGTGAACATCTCAATAAAGCTAGGCAAGGAATTTTTTGGCTTCCCAGTGCATATAAAATTTATCTTTCTACTATAGTATAGTATATTAAATGTGCAAAGCATTATATCTTTAAAAATGTGTATATACCTTAACTTAAAAATACTTTATTGCTAAACATATTCTAACCAACACTGGAGCTTTCAACTAGTCCTAATCTTTTTGCTGGTGGAGGGTCTCATCTTGATGTCAATGACTGCTGACTTATCAGAGTGGTGGCTGTGAAGGTTGGCATGACTGTGTCAATTTCTTAAAATAAGACAACAGTGAAGTTTGCCACATTGATTGACTCTTCCTTTCATGAGCCATTTCTCTAGCAGATGATGCTGCTTGATAGCATTTTTACCCACAGTAGAACTTCTTTCAAAATTGGAGTCAAACCTCTCAAAACCTGCTATTGCTTTATCAACTAAGTTTATTTCACATTCTAAATCCTTGGTCATCATTTCAACAGTCTTCACAGAATCTTCACCAGGAGTAGATTCCACCTAAGGAAACCACTTTCTTTGCTTATCCCTAAAAAAATAATTCATCATACATTTAAATTTGATCAAGATGGCAGCAGCTCAGTCTCATCTTCAGGCTCCACTTCTAATTCTAGTTCTCCTGCTCTTTCCACCACATCTCTAGTTATTTCCTCCACTGAGGTCTTGAATCCCTTGAAGCTACCCATGAGAATTGGAATCAACTTGTTCCAAACTCCTGTTCGCGTTGATACTTTGACCTCTTCCTGTGAGTCTCAAATGTTCTTAGTGCCACGTAGAATGATGAATCCTTTCCAGTAGGTTTTCAGTTTATTTTGCTTAGATCCAGCAGAGTAATCACTACCTGTGGCAGCCAGAGCCTTATGAAACGTGTTTCTTAAGTAATAAGACTTGAAATCACTCCTTGATCCATTGGCCACAGAATGACTGTTGTGATAGCAGGCATGAAAACAATGTTAATCTTATTGTCTATCTCCCCTCAGAGCTCTTGGGTGACCAGGTACATTGTCAACCCGCAGGAACATTTTGAAAGGAATCTTCTCTTCTGAGCAGTAAGTCTCAACAGTAGGCTTAAAATAGTCTGTAAGCCATGTTGTAAACAAATGTGGTGTTATCCAAGCTTTGTTGTTCCCTTTATAGAGCACAGGCAGAGTAGATTTAGCATAATTCCTAAGGCCCTTGGATTTTTGAAATAACAAGTGCTCCCCCAAACTTCACCTCAAGTTAAACTCACCAGGTGCATTAGCCCCTAATAAGAGTTGGCCTGTCTTTTGAAGCTTTGAAAACAGGTATTGACTTTTCCTCTCTACTTTGAAAATCCTAGATGGCATCTTCTTCCAATAGCAGGCTGGTTTGTCTACATTGACAATCTACTGTCACCTTCATGAATTATCCTAGCTAGATCTTCTGGTTAATAGGCTGCAGCTTCTACATCAGCACCTATTGCTTCATCTTGCACATTGATGTTACGAGGGCATCTTCATTCCTTAAATCTCATGAACCCACCTCTGCTGGCTTCAAACTTTCCATTTGCAGCTTCCTCACCTCTCTCAGCCTTCACAGAATAGAAGAGAGTCGGAACCTGGCTCTAGATTAGGTGTGGCTTAAAGGAATGTGTGGCTGGTTTGATTTTCTATCCAGACCACTAAGACTTACTCCACATGAGCAATAAAACTTTCGCTTTTTATCATTCGTGTGTTCACTGGAATAGCACTTTTAATTTCCTTTAAGAACTTTTCCTTTGTATTCACAGCTTGGTTAACTGACACCAGAGGCCTAGCTTTCAGCCCATCTTAGCTTTTGACTCACCTTCCTCACTAAGTTTAATCATTTCTAGCTTTTGATTTAAAGTGGGAGACGTGTGGCTCTTCCTTTCACTAAACACTTAGAGGCCATTGTAGAGTTATTGA